GTTTATATATTTACATAATAAAAATAGTATTTATTTTTATATATAATTTATTATAAATTTTAATTATATATAATAATCAACGTACATATTAAAATACTAATAACATTAAAAATAAAATAAAATAAAATATGTTTTTAATTTAATCTCATATTTTAATTTTTACATTGCATTTGTTAAATATTTATTTTATCTAAATAAGTCGAATAATGTTGTCTTAAATGTACAATAATTAAGAATATTTTTTTAAAATAACAATTATAATAAAGTTGAGTCAATAATAATATAATATTTTAAACTTTTTAAAGATATTATTAATTATTATGTAACTGGTTATAATAGTTTTTCAAATAATTATAATAAAGTTTACTCGATCATAATATTTTTTCAAACTTTTTTAAGTTATTATTAAGGTTAAATTGTATTTTTAATTCTTTTATTTTTATAATTTAAAAAAAATTCTATTTTAAAATAAAGATATTAATCTTTATAATTTAAAAAATATAAAATTTTAATTTTTCTTCAAATTAACATTTATTAATAGTTAAATTTTAACATTTGCTCATAAAATAACAATTGGTAATATGATATTTAAAAATTAAAAAAAATATTAAAAAAATATACAAATAAGATTTTTATCAATAAAATAAATAATCACTCATAAAAATATATACATACGAAAATCTTTTGTGTGTTATTTTTAATTTTTATCCTTATACTTCACATCACTTAAGTGATGGTAGATCTGAAGTTAGATGAAAAACACATAGAAGGGGGTTGAATATGTGTGTGTGTGAACAAAGGAATTTTGAAAACGTTTTCGCAAGGAACTCTTTTTCATCAGTAGAGATATTATTTTGATTGCTTAGAAAAACTGTGCAGAGTTAGTTTAACAAAAGAGTTTGCGTCTAACAATTTATCGTCTGCACACTAAAAATATTTCTTAAACGAAAACTGTTTCTTAAGATGATAAATCAAATAAGTGTAGTTTTCGTCTGAAGATGGTTGCAGTGAAGAATAAGTTATGGACGAAGTTTTCAATATGATTTTAACAATTAAGGGAAATTGCGTCTGAAACATAAATAAACAGTGCAAACATTTTTATACTGGTTTGCTCAGACTGAGCTACGTCCAGTCTCCTTCAAATGAAGGGTTTCACTAGATATTCAATGAAGTACAAGTATTATTTGATCAGCCTTTTCAGGCTTGCAGTGAGTATTATCGACCACTCTTGGTCTCGAGTATTATCAACCACTCCTGGTTTGCCAACTTCACTTATTATCGCTAGTATTCTTTATTCAGCCTCTTCAGGCTCGTAGTGAGTATTCTCGACCACTCTTGGTCCCGATTATTCTCAACCACTCCGGTTGGCTAATAGCACTAGTATTCTTTATTCAGCCTCTTCAGGCTCTTAGTGAGTATTCTCGACCACTCCTGGTCCCAAGTATTCTCAACCACTCTTGGTTGGCTAGCTTCACTCACTAGTTCTAGTATTCTTTGTTTAGCCTCTTCAGGCTCTTCGTGAGTATTTTCGACCACTCTTGGTCCCAAGTATTCTCAACCACTCCTAGTTAGCTATCAGTACTAGTATTCTTTGTTCAGCCTCTTCAGGCTCTCAATGAGAATTGCCGACCACTCCTGGCCCGCTAACTTTACTCATTAACGCTAGTATTCTTTGTTCAGCCACTTCTGGCTCTCAATGAGTATTCTTTGACAAGCCTCTCCAGGCTTATACAAGTATCCTTTCCCTAGCCTCTTCAGGCTTTACAAATGGTAGACAAATGATTAGTTTTGAGTGTTTGGTTTACTCTCACAAAGAGGATACAAATATTTCTACACTCACTAAGGCACATGTTCTTAAGCTACACTTAGAACTCCTTAGTCTACAGAGATAAATACACTATGGTACATTTGACTCTATAAGTTCTTTCTCTGGTTTCGTTGCTTCATGGGCTGGATATCACTCTTCGCCAACGCCAAGCCTTTCTAGGTTTGAAGTTGTGACATATATATAGTCTTGTAAAATTTTCCCGTTGCAAGTTTCCGTTGAAGCAGATGTAGTCATTCATGACTAGTTCAATCTTCTCATTAATGCATTAGATCTTGCATTAAATGTTGCTTCCTGTTTATAAACATTGTGTGAAGTCTTCTTCGTTTGTTACCTGTTGTGTCTGACTGTAGCTGAGACCTAGGAACATTTTGTCCTTTTCCGGTCATCGTAGCTTCAAAGCGTTGTCCTTATATGAAAAAGTGATGTACTTTTTCTAACACATGCATGCTTTTACTTTTGGCGTGCTTTTCTTCTTCTTTATCTTTTTCTTTAATCACACGATCATGTTGAGAGCTTTTATATGATCGTAAACGATGCCTGATTTGTCTTTTGAGACTTGATTCTTGAAATACTTGTATGGCAATCTTCGTCTAGTAGTCCATTTGCATCTCAAGTCTTGATCTTCGTTTGAGCATTTGTCATTTATGCTTTGACTTTTTCTTTGGTCTGGTCAACCTTGCAGATGGACAGACTTTGTTTCTTGTTTGGAACACTTTTTAGTCTGTGTTGTCCTTCGTTTGATATTGACTTTCTTCTGATATTTGACCAACCTTCCTCTGAGTCTTTATGTTGTGCTTTAGGTTGTTCTTGACACACCTTCATCTGATATTTAACTCATCATCGTCTGGCGCACATTTCATATTCTATTTATTATTCAACTTTGTTTATTCTATCCATCATTTGACTTGTTTTGTTTGATTTTTGTGGTATGCTTTGCCTTGACCTATGGATTCGCACTCGTCTATTTTTCTTCTTTCTTTTCACATTATTGATGACTTTGTGTGCTCTTCTTATGAGTGTAGACGATATATGATATTCCTTCTTGTGAATAGTGGACTTTAGATGCTTTTTAATATTCTTCGTCTAAGTCTGGAATTTAAGTTTCCATCTAAGAGATAAACTTTGTCTTTTCTTTTCGTCTGGTTAGAGTAAAGATGGAGGACTTTAATTTCGTCTGGAGCGTTTCTTCGTCTTGTATTTTCCATCATCTGATACTTAGTTGGCCTACGACTGGTAGTATGATTTGTCTTGTATGTGTTGAGTTTTCGTCTATCTTTTGATCGTCTGATGTTTTGTACAGACTTCATCCGGTGCTAAACCCACTTTTGTCTTGTTCCTTATTTGGCCTTGTTTGATACCTATGTTGGCTTTTCGTCTGACTTGGGATGTATCGTTTGAAGCTTGATCATTCTCCTTCTTGTGCTAGACCATTAGGCTTCATCTGATGTCTATACTTTCTTCTAACTTGGATCATGCTTAGTCTTGATGTTTGATCAATTTTCTTCTTGTGCTAGGCTTGGCTTCATTTGATCTTTCCATCTGATGCTTGAAGCTTTTATCTTGGTTCTGGTGTAGGAAGTGGCACACACACACACTTTATTCTTCAACTTGCATGTACTTATGTTTTTCTGAAACACTAAAACACTTGTTAGAAATAACATGTATTATATTTGTCTCATTCAAAACCTTGCTAAAAATTATTTCGTTTGACTTAACAAGATCACCAGACAACGTCAAAATTTAATAATCAATGAGTATCAAATTGACAGAAAGATCAAAATTTCACATTTTTGTAAAATAGAAGAAATAAATGTTTATATTTTAAAATAGAAGAATCAAAACTATGAATCAACAAAAATAAAAAAATAAAAATACAATTTAGCATATTATTAATTTTTTTAATGACTATAATTATAGAATAGTGTATGCACATTCATGAGATAAATATTTATAGTTATGCATTGTTCTTAATTCTCAAAATTTTTGTAACTAGAAATGAGAATAAGTTAGGTTTTGAATATATAAGTCAAATTTGTTTTATAAAATTAACGTCAAAGTTTGATTTGGCATACTAGTTTATTTAAAATCCTATTTTATATTAACAATGTTAAATAAATGAGTAAATTTAATTTTTATATAAACCAACAAATTTATTTTTAAATATACATGCAAGTCTCTTTTTTAATTTTTTTAACTTTCAAGATAAAAAAAATAGTTTAATCTATTATTATTAAAACTTAGAGTTTAAAATAAAATTAAAAAATAAACATAAGAGAGATAATCTCATAAAAAAAATTCTAAATATTTCTTATATCCTATTTGAAATATTCAAAATAAACAACTATAAAGATGAAGAAAAAATAAACAAAAATGCGATTAGTAGATTTTCAATTTTCTATTTTTGATTTCATATGAACAAATAACGTAAAACATTTAATAATGCTAAAAATATTAATAATTTGATATTTTATTAAATAAATTATATTAAATAAAACTTTAACATATCAGACTATAAACTTTTATTTAAGGTGTAAAATTTTCATCCTTACTTATATTGTAAAATGCTCCTAAAATAAATATTTATAATTTTGTATCGTTTTCAACTCCCAAAATTCTTGCTTTTATTTTTCCGAGAAGCGTATGTCATATTTTTTCTTTTGTACCTATCAAGGACTATCAAATATATTTGTAGAAAGAATCTCTCTCATGCGTGTCCTATTGTAATTTCCTTTTTTTTCTCCTTTCAAATCGCAAATTTACTTCATCAAAATATTTTATTGGTCTTTTCATTATTGTAGAATGAAGTGTCCAATAACAGAAAAAAAAGTTGATATTACATAATACAATATAAA